TCCGTGGGCTCAATCCTAATTCCGCGGCTAATTACAAGCCTAAAAGCATGTCCAGAATGTGCATGTACCCTTCGACCCGGGAAAAAGGGGACTTCCCCAAACCAAAGTGAACAATGGTTATGAGACACTTCGGGCGGACAATCTTGTTGCAGGTTGGTGAGCTGCAAAAGTTCCTGTAGGTCAAATTGACCGGGTAGGGCAATGGCAAACGTAAATGGCTGTCGATCGAGGTCAGGATCGGAATCATAAACAGAGACAACATTAGATCGAAGTTCAACTGCATGATTCTGCGTAATGATAACCTGAGCAAGAATCCCAACCGCAGCGTCTTCCGTGGCAGGATGTACTATTGAGAGGTCAAAATCTGAACCCGGTGTAAGCCGGTCCCCCCATGTGGCAAAGACTGCAAACCTCCAAGTAAGAAAATCTTCACTGATCACAATAATCCTAGAGGCCAAGCATCTGTTCCTATCTTCGGCATGGTCAAGAAACCAACTTTCCAACCGATGCGTACGTGATGCAACAGGCTCAAATGCAACTTGATTGTCAGTGATCCTTTCCCATAGATCGCGAAAGCTTTCAGGCTGTGCTTCAATTGAAAACTGATCAATTGGTGGCAGCTGGTTGTCAATCGCATTGTTGGCAGCATTGACAGCACTCAACAGTTCATCCATTATACTACAAACCGGTGCAATGGGCAATGGTTCCTTAGTGAGCCGATTAGGGCTGCTAACACTCCTAACAGATACCTGGACAAAGGATGTGTCTTCCGGAGTCTGGTCCACAGGCGCACTCTGCAATTCCGGTTCAAGCTCTGGGGGCATTTGCAACAGAATACACATACCGTCATGCAGTCTGAAAGATTCATCAGGGGATTGGAGCAAAGGGTGTAACCAAACCAATCGCTGCCAATTAATATCATCAAAGAATGGAACTACCTGTCTGATATCAGCGCAAGTGCAGACTTTGGGAAGGGCCACTGCAAACCGCACGACTACACTACGCTCACGTATCGAATAGAACTCAATGGAGACCAATACGGAGACCAAAGCAGTATGCTTTTGGGTGATGATAATGTGGGCGATATGTTCTTCTACGTCTGCACGTGGTGAGAAGGGAGCAACAAGGCTAAGGAGGGGGCGATCCTCAGCATTGATTCGAAATCTCCACGGATGTAAAACATCCTCTTCCCATTCCGATGGCAAGCCCCCCAAAACCGCGATTTTGGGATTGTTACATAAAAGGCTTTCCTCGTGGTCAAGGAACCACGTGTAGATTGAGAAAAGAAACTCATCTTCTTCACCCTCTGGGCAGCTATTGGCATGCAGTGAGACAACCCTCTGCAGGTCTATAAACCAGTCTTGCGGAATGTCGTCACTACTACTATTATTGACGGCCCTTTCAGAAGCTATGTCAGCAACAGGAGTGGTGGGCTGGCGCTGCATAGCTGAAAAATCCTCATCCTCACTGTCAGACAGAGCAGGCCTTGCTGGAGTGGCGAGGGAGCGGACTTCCTCATCGCCCAACAAGCTAGGTGAGTAACCCTCCGCAGGGGCATTTTCATTCATTAGATGCATGATATCAAGTTCTGTTAAATCCTGCTGAGTCCATCTCACAACTTGATCAGTTGGGCACTCAATTCTATCAGAAGGGGGAATAACGATCCTAATCGCATCTCCATGTGCAAAGAGGCGAAAGTCAAGATCATAGTCAGGCCAACGTATGCCGTTGGAGTAGACTAGGCAGCGTCCTCCTTCTGCATGACAATATTTGTCAACATTGGCTAAAATCAAAATACCCTTCCGGTCAACCCTAGGAGGGACTGGCAGGACAAATCGACGTGTAATTGGGCCTAAGCGGAAATGTGGTTCAACTTTATGCCCGTGTAACTCCAAATCAAACAGCACAAGCCTAGCATCTTGGCCAAAAGCAATGTCTGGCAGTAGGTGTACAATGATTGGGTAAACATCGGGCGGCATACCAGAAAGTGGGATAGCAATTTCATAAGCATCGATAACTCCCTGTCTGTGTACAGCAAAATGATGGGCAAGTTCAGTCATCATAGACTCATAATCACCCCAATCAAGGAAAACACGGATGGGGGGGTCTTGCAAATGAAAAATAATGACATCTTGTCTGGCAGCTGATTCCGATGGCGGTTGCATTACAGGTGATTGCGAAGGTGTAACAGAACCACTACTGTCAGGAAGGGAACGGTCATTGTCAGATCCATCCTGCATGGCCTGAGTAACTGTATCCGCTGTACCTCGTGGCAGCGCAGAAATCAAGGCATTCTCATGTGGTTCAAAATCATCATGTTTACATGCATAAATACCACTAGTGGCGATTTGCATAAGGATGGTAGAATCGTCTTGTTGCGGGGAATCTGAAGGTCGGCTCAACACGGCCCAATTGGACAGCGGTTCCTGACCAACAGAATCCAATACATCAGGGGCAAGATGTTCAAGGGTTAAACATGGAATGTAAAAACCCGGTGCAGCTTCCAAGACAGGGTCGACGGTTGGCTGACAAAATTGACGTCCTTTGGCAATTCTTCGATTACTCCAAGGTTTCTCAGGCCAACCGCAAATCCAATCATGTCTCATTGTAAACCTGGCAAAATGATCAGAGTCCTCTTCTCCAATATGCACTTCAATACAATCCGCAAAGTTCACACACAACCCTTTGTGGCTACGATGGGGTTCCTGAGAGGTGCAAGTCTGGATACTGGAACCAGAAAAAATCGACAGGTCATGAGGTAAATGAAATTTGTAAAAACTGAGATCTTGAAGTACATCCCATCGTAGGCTGCACGCATCAAGAGCCGCTTGGAATGGATCTTTGAAGCTAGCTTCATTCTTGACAGAGTGATGCCATGACAAGCTCAAATTGAAAAATGCATCCTGAGTTCCGCATGCTGCACCATCCAGCAAATCACTGAAATGATAGGCCTCAACGGATCCTCCATGGATGTCTGACTCCCTGGCCTCGTGAAAGGGATTCTGGTGAACTCCGCAATCACGGCCTGCCCTCAGGAGGAGGGTGCAGCCGGCGTACCAAAGGGCTCGAGGGATCGCTGCCTTTTGGGGGGCTTTTCCTCCTTCTTCTCCTCGTCCTTCCCACCTGCATCTTGTGACTTGTCTGCAGGGGGGTGAGGCACATCTGGCGAGATTCCCAAGGAACTGACACAGGATCTCAAAATGGCTTGTAACTTCTGTCTGAGCTGTTCTTCTTCTTGGTCTGTATCTTCCAATTCGATAGTATCCGGAACTTCTGGCGCTGGAATTGCCGGCATTGTGGACCCGGTTCCAGCCGCTCCGAGGATCTGAATTGTGCGACTCGTGGTAGAGATTTCGGCTTGCGTCCCTGTGGCCAAGTCTGTCAAAGTGGGCTGGTGTCGCCGATACTCCTCTAACTGGCGTTCCCACATTTTGACGCCTTCTGTAACATGTTGCAACCATCTTGCTCGATGCGCTTTCCTCTGGTCGTTTACCTCTTTGAGGTGCTTCTTGGATTTGTCTAAATGCTTCGCCGCCTGTTGAAGGTTCTTCAAGCCCAACCGGCCTGCCTCCTTGTCGGCTTTCTCTAATAGCGCTTTCACATCGTCTGGAGTTTTGGTAATATCTGGATAGGCCCTTCGCAAGGCTTGTGCCATTTCCTGCAGTCCACCGTCCGCGCTCGTGACCTGAAAAGGGCTTGTAGCACTTGCGGTTGCGGGCATGAAACCTGTAGAATCTAGGGCAGGCCAAGTCTCGAAACCAGTCACAGAAGGGGTTTGGAAAGGTGAGGTGTTCTTGCCAGCAGCTTCTTTCCCACCGGTTTTTCCCTCCTTGCCTTTCTTGCCCTTCCCTTTGGTTCGCTGTCTGGGAGACTGCACTGACTGAGTCCCATCCTGTTCGAAACGATGTCTGCTGGGTGATCGCGAGGTCCATCTCCGGCTTTCCTCCCAGCCTTCGTCCCAACCAGGCCAATCCGACCTGTAACTGGTCGCCTGTGCAGGTTTGGGCTCTGTATGGTGCTTCTCTCCTGAGCTCCAATGAGCTTGGCAGTTCGGGCATTTCATATGCGATTTCTTGTTCAACCTCCAACACTGAAGGCAACGCCAAGGGTAGCTTTCCAAAGGCGTTTCCATTTCTTTGTCTATCTTGGCAATAAATTTCGGATCTCTCGAATGGTGGGTTGACAGAGTATGCCTGATGCGTGCCAGAGCTGGCTTGTTTAGCAATACAATCCCTTTCCGATGTAAAAACCAAGCTCGCCTCGCTGCTGCACGGAGTCGGCGCAATCTCCGCTTCCACGATGTAGGGACACGAAAAATCGTGCAAAAAATCAAATACCACTGTCAAAATCAAAAACAGCAATAAAATTGAGCACATATATCAATTTGTAGGAAGATGAGTCTCGATGCCAGGGCAAACCAGTTGAGCACGAGAACAGATAATCCAAGGTCAAATAAGATGAATTGTAAATTGTCCGGTAGTAGGCCACCGCAGAGCCAGATGTAGGCACAAATACCGAAACCAGATCAGAGCAGTGCACCACCGAAACAAAATATTCCCCAAATGACACCAGCGCACAGCAGTTCAGTGTAAATGAAGATACAAACGAAGGTGCAACACAAATCCAGGACAAGTCAACTGGATCGGCAGTGCCAAACCAACTTAAGATCGAATAGGCTAAGCTAAGACTTGGTCTAAGGGGGAACAAATAGATTTCACGCGCGTATTAGGGTTTTTTTCAGGCCTGGTTTCCTCTGAAACTTTCTAAATCATTGTCAAGCTCATATCGGATATCATTAAAATTCATTAAATCCTATAGAAAATTTCCCATTAATCCTATATTTATCGGATATCATTAAAATTCATTAAATCCATTTAAATCCTATATATCCTATATATCCTATATATATATATATTAATCCCCATTAATCCCCTCACTTTTTCCCTCTTTTTAGTGATATGCTGGGATCCCCATCCCAAGAAACACGGGCTCCAAGCGAGGTCACTGCATTGTGCAAGTCCTACTAAGTCGGCCCCCTGAATGGGCCGGCAGCTGTCCTCTCTGTCGCACACACATTAGCAGCTCGGACGGATATGGTCCAATGGTAGGTTAATGGGCTGTGAGCGGATGGCAATGGATGGTAATGGATGTGAATTAACGGCTTTTAATGGTTCTGAAGGAATCATATTTTTTTCAATGCGTTTTCATGGAAGTGGAGTGGCCATGAATCCCAAAACTGCTTGGCTTCTGGTTGCAGATGCTAGCCAAGGTGTGTACAACCTGCGAAACAATGGACAGTTGCTGGTTGAGCCGGAAGTCCAGAACTTGTGGGGCTGCGTGTTCGTGCAATATGGCAAGCTAGGCCTGCAAAGTGGTCGGGCAAAAGTCAAGCCAGTGTGGGTCAGAAACCATTCAAAATCCAAGAGACCAACATATTTTCTCAAAAATCACATGGAGGTTTCCTAAAATGGGGTGCCCCTAAGCCATTCAACATTGGACCTCAGGAAACTCCCCATATTTCTAGGCAGATCTTTTTTGATATACAGCAGCTGAATCAAATTGCGGCAACCGAAGGCCTAGCGAGCTACCACTTCAACTCCTTGGAGGACTGCTACATTTCCTACGATGCGGCACCTGAGACGTGGCGTTTGGATGACGGCTGTCGGCCTCCTTCCAAAAAGCCCTGGGAGGAGGTGAGCTATGACCCCGAGACTCGGATATTTCGAGGACGAAGCTGGCAATTTTTTTTGTGTTGACATGGGGAGCTATCAATAAATGAATAAATAAATTAGATAATATACATTGCATATATATATATATATGTATGCATCGTGTTTGGCAGGCACTGGGTGTGCATTATCATTAGGGTGAGTATGTAAGCTGATGAATCCATTTTGGCTCAAGTCTGAGCCAAACTGGCTTCATCGTTCTTTCTTTTGTTGGGGTACCCACACCACTTCTAGGGAGTTACCCTAGGTTCAGTGGTTTCTCGTTCCTCTACTAGGGCGTTACCCTAGAGTACAGAGGTTACGAAGGTGGGAGGTCACCCCCTCGATGCCAAGGGCCTCCATTGTCGTTCGGCCCGGTTGGAATGAGGCTGCCCACACGGATGTGGAGCTGCTTCATGCGGCCGCCTACTACGAGTTCAAGACACATGTGGAGAGCCTCCTCCAGCAGGGCTTGGTGGCACAGGCCACCCGACTGTGGGCGTCTGTGTGCCAAATTGATCATTTCCCCCCACATCCAATTGGGTTGGGGGTGCAGGGACTTCCCCCTTTCAGACGGTCACCTTGTATGGAAGAAAACTGTAGGAGGTGTACTGAGTATCAGGGAGGATTCAAGTTCCCTTGGATCGGCACATGGAACAGCTCAGCTGTCTTGGCTCTGCCCGGGAGTGACCCGCGGCTTGCGTGGCAATCCTACTATGATCGCCTGGGCGAGGCGAGGCTGGATTTGCTACTCATCGAGCCGCTGCGGACTTCTTGGACGTCTCGGGACTTTGCGCCGGACAACATCTTTGGTTTGGTCGCCTTCATCGAGCACAATGCCGATAGCATGGTCGACCTCACCGAACTGTGGGATGTGTGGAGGACCTGGCAATCCCCACAGCGTCGATGGAGGGACCCATCCTTGGTGCCCATCCCGGCTGACCTGGTTGCGTGGAGAGCACCACGGGCCAGAGCAGTCCGGTCGTTATGGGGCTGGCTTGGTGCCATGGAGGCTGGGGAGGAACCCTTGCCACCTTGCAGGGCTTGTGGACTGCCGACACCTGAGCTCTGTGAGCGATGCTTCTCCTCCGTGTGCAGTACCTGTCCACCCTCCCAGTGTCCAGGATGTCACCCCGTCTTGCGTCGAGACCCATCTGCAGCAGCGGCGGCCTAGTGATGTTTGTTTGTTGCCTGATAACACTGAGGTTTGGTCTGCAGTTTCAGGCCCAGCCCGTACGCTCCAAACCTTGGCGGCGGTGGTGTCAGGCGTCGCCATGGCGTACCACCCAGGCGCCTACGCGGTGCAAGCTGCTGGTGAGGCTCCACCTTGTGCAGAGACGGCGATGGAGAGGGTGGCATCCACTCGTGTTGAACAGTGGCGAGCTCAATGGGGACTACATGATGAGACTGACTTCGCATATGCGTTTGCATCCTATGACAGCGCAGTGGCACATGGAGGACACCATGTGGCAGATGCGTGGTTGCAAGCGCGATCCAAGACTGCCGAAGCGGACCTCATCCCTCAAGCGGCTGCCGTGGCTGAGAGCTCGGGCTCCAGAGATCGGCCAACGACATGGCCTGCGCCCAAGGCATCCATGATGAAGAAGAGCAAGATGGTCCAAGCTCTTCGAGTACGGCCAGGCCCAGATCAACCAGAGACGGTGCTGCTGCGAGCTGCGGCACTGAGGAAGGCCTTTTCTCAGGCCAAGGTCATGCGTCCTCAAGGGGAGTTGACCCCGGAGAGGTACGCTCAGTGGCAGGACGCTCTGGATACTTTGTCTAAGCGGAAGGTCACAGAGGCCGAAGGAGCGACGGTGGTGAATGCCCTGAAGTCTTGGGCTGAGTTGCGGGCCTACATGGAGCAGAAGGACCGCTTGTTCCCACCGGATGCATTGGACCTCTATGGCTTCCTGCAGAATGGCACGTCGGGGCCTTACCGAGCCTTTCATTCCTTGAAGTGGTTCTCCAAACATGGCCGGTTGCAATGGGACTTCAGTGATGTACCAGTTCCAGCTCGTAAGAATCCACCCAAACAGGCAAACCCAGAACAGGCTGTTGCAGTTGAGCCCCCAATGATTGCAGCGCTTGAAGAGAAGATTCAATCGTTGTACGAAGCAGGGGACCCGCGTTGGAGGGGCTTACTGTCCAGCTGGCTGGTTACCTTTGGTGTCCTGCGATACCAGCACATCATGCGTGCCAGGCCAGTCAAAGTGACCCCTAGCTCCTTTCATGGCTACTGCACGAAGGGGAAGCAGAAGGCCAACAGGGGCGGGTTCTCCTTCAGCATTCCGGCCACATGCGTCAACGGATGGGCTTGGGGCTCGGCCCTATTCAGGGACTACAGCAGTCTGGATAAGGCTAAGCAAGCAGCCTCAGGGTTATGCTTTGATGCGGAGGGCACCGCATACACCTTGAAGTTCGTCAACGAGCTCAATCGTGAGGTCTTTGAGCACTTAGTCCAGAATACAGAGGATTTGTCTTCCTACTCCTGGCGGCGAGCAGCACCTACAGTGGGCACTTTGATGAAGCTGATGCCTCTCGAGCTATGCTCATTGGGGGACTGGGCAGATCGTTCCCAGATCCCAAAGGAGGCGACGATGCCTATGCACTACAGTGCAGCCAGGTATGAGTCTTCATTGAGGACCAAACACATTGTGCGGCTGGCTATGGAGAAGCTGCTTGCCCATGAGTCATGGGAGACCATCCCAACAGAGACCTATGCTGAGGCCCTTGAGTATGCGCGCCAGAACGTGGACAAGGTGCTGAAGCAGGAATCTAGGGTCATCTGGGCAGCTCCTTTGACGAAGGCTGGGATGCAGGCGCGCTTCCAGCTGTCGGAGGCGCTTAAGCTCAAGGCCGCGGCCAAACGAGAAGAGGCACAATCCAAGGGTGGCCTGTCTGCGATGCCGGCATCTCTCAATGGGAAGGTGCTGAGCGCATTCATGAAGAATGGGGCACCCATTTGTGGAGCTTTTCAGACGAGGTCTTGCCCCTTGGAGAAGGAAGCGTGCCCTGGTCGCCATGCATGCGCCATTCTGCGCAAAGCTGGACGAGTTTGCGGTGGAGGCCATCCGGCATGTGAATGCCACGACAAGAAGTTCATCAAGGTGGAGGAGATGACTGGCGAAGGGCCTGGTTCGGGATCTGCTAAGGCCAAGCCTACTAGCAAATCCACGGAGGAGCGACCTCCGGAGCCAGCTGCCCCTCCTAAGGCGTCAGTGAGGCGCCCACGGTCCCCACAAGGGCCGCCGTCTAAGGCACCGCCAGCGAAGAAGGCCAAAGCAGCCCCAGCTCCACCTCCGGCGCCATTACCAGCCCTGGTGACCAGTTCGGAAGAAGAAGAAGTCGAAGTTGAGGAGGAGGACCTTCCGATTCCAGAGGCACTGGATACTCGAGGGCCCGACCAGAAGTTCGACAGGTTGGCGACAATCCACGGCAAGACAGCGGAGAGCCCGAGCCTTATTTATCAGAATAGGGCAGGGGGCAAGCTGTGGCTGAGTGGAATTCCAACCAGGAACACGGCAAACCGCTTTCCAAAGGGAGTTACCCTTCAGATTGCGTGCATGGCCGAAGCCCCATCATGCAGAGGAGGAGTGGTGCTCACAGATGCCCTCTTGAAACACCTGTGTGTGGCCCATGGTGGTTCGAGGAACAGGGACTTCGAAGAAGTCTGGCCCTTGCTGCGCAATACGATGTATGCAGGTGAGTCGGCCTTGATCCATTGCCTATCAGGGCGCCACCGAGCAGGTGTTGGGGGCTGTGTGTTCCGGGCGCTGCTAGCCCAGGAGAGCTGGGATGTTGCAGTGGCCTACGTGAAGAGCTGCAGGCGCTCGTTGGACATTCCGGGGATCATCAATGAAACGGGTATGAGGTCGTGGGTGGACACGACTCTCAGGACCAGCTCCCTCAGGAACCCGTTCCCAGAGCCCTGCGGCTACATTGCGACACTGCGTTCAAAGGTTCATCTGGAGCTCAACAATGGCCAGACCCTCTGCTCCCACAAGCAATCTGCTGAGCGTGCAATCCGCTTGGTGAAGCCAATGACGACGCAGGACATGAGGGAGGCTATGGCTTGGGGCCGCGCTTTTTGTGACGGTTGTTTGGTGCGAGCAGCAGCGAGCTGGCATCCACGCTGACCTTGTCAGGAGTGGCGCACCAGAATTCATTTGAATAAGAGTAGCACAGGGCCGATTTTGGTAAGCTGACCAACGTGGTCCATAGCTTGCCCGTAGGCTAACATGCATTTGAACCATTTGAGAGCTTGACTTCTGCGTGGAAAAAGGCCCTATCAACATCCGGGAGGATGAAGTCATGATAGGCTGCGATAACTAGTCTTACCGGTATGTCATGAGGTGGCTTACACAGGTATCTGTGAGGACAAGCTACATGATGTGTGCCGGGGATAGAGACTAGGAGACAGTCTGTCATACCCCTGAGGAACAGGGGAGTTCTTGTCTTACCCCCCCCGTCACCTCCTTCTGTCCCTGGATGGCAGGTGATGTGCAGCATGCGGGAGGCATGTTTGGGGGTGAGCAGCTTTGAATGTTCAAGTCATACAAGGAGTTACCTTGAGAAAATGACTAGTGTTCGATTGGTTCCGGTGGAGAGTACCACCATTCAGGAAACCATGGAGTCTTTAGGGCTGAATTTTTCGTTGGACCCCGTTGTGACCAAGGCGTTGTTGGCCACCAAGATTCAGAACTTGGAGGAGTTTCGGTTCCTCTTTGAGGATGAGTCGAAAGTTGACACGTTCTTGGCCAAGTTGCAACTCGGTGACGATAGGTTGATTCAGGGCTCTAGGTTGCGCAGAGCTTGGACTGCCGTGACCCTGTACTACAAGAACCAGGACCAGGATAGGTCCAAGATCAGTGTCAGCGATCTTGATACCATGTTGGCTGACACAGAGTTGCGTGATGTCAAATCCAACTTCTGGGTTCGGTATCGGATGAGATTCCCGCCAGAGATCCATCCAGCTGATGCCACGCTCTCTCGTATCAGCAGGGAGCTCTCCAAGCGGAT